ATAGTGTTGTTTTTCTTGTGTGTATTTCTGCTACATTAGATGTTTATGGCTTACAGCTGTTGAGAAAAAATATATTCTGCTTCTGTATTTTTTTACTGTATTTTTTACATGAGTCCATAAAATAAATGTTTGTTTTTATGCACAAGCTATAATGTGGCACAGAATTATTGGAAAGACTGCTGGTTTTATAGTGCTGGACAGCCTCCACAAGAAGGGCCAATAGCAACAGGTCATTGCTAAATCAGCTGGTTGTTTAAATGGAACTCTATGCAAATACATTAATAGAAAGTTAAGTGGAAGGAAGAACTGTAGTAGAAAAACATGCACAGCCAACACAGACGAGATTTCAATCTAAGTTCATAAAAGATGAGTCTGTTTTTAACAGTTACAACACTGAATGCCTCTAGAAGATCCCATGTAAGTGTCTTATCCAGGACAAGGAGAGAGGCTATGTCCACTTACTTGTCTAAAGTCACCCTTTAAGATTTCCTTTTACAGTTAAGGTTAGGGTTTGAAGTCAGTTGGTTCATCTTCAGGAAGAGTGGAGAGGTGCCGAATTTATTTGCTCAGGCTACACTGTAAATGTTTCCACAATGAGTGATGCTGTGTGGAACAGCATATCCAGTGGGCATGGCCCAATGTGATTTTAGATCATGTCTTATAAATATTCTTGCTAACTTTTTAATAGCTTGAGTCATAATCCTGTTAAGAGTGCAGTTTCCCTGTGATTTAGCACCCTACGAGTTGAAAATGATACCCAAATTTCACCTGAATTTTATTTCTGCAAAAAAACTTTACTACAATAATCTGATTTTTATACACCTACAGTACGTTTATATAGTCTTGTTTTTAAAGCTGTGCCCTCCCAGTCCTTTTAACTGCATGCAATACAAGGAAAGGAGTGTTTTATGCGTCAATGCCCTTTGTTGTTGTTTTTATCTTCACACCAAGACATGGACGTTAAATCACTCGTGTTCCTTCAAATTGTTTCAAGTTTCACCAGACAGAAGGAAAAGAACATGATTCACAAGTAAACAAGATAAGCCTTCGAGCCTGTTATTTAGATGTTTACACTTTTCATAAGCACCTCATAGGAGGTACCATTTCAACATCTTAACAACACTCTTCTTAAACTTGCCCGAAATCCTCCACTTGTGACAGTTAATCCCCCCCCCTCTTGATGCAGTTTTTACATGTGTGCAGCAGGCTTGTAACTTTGCACGCATCATATAAAAGACATTTTATCAACTCCCTTTCTGCTTTTCATATTTTGCGAGTCATTTATCTCATCAGACCATATGGGTTTGTTTAGAGAGATGGAGAAAAGCCAAAACCAATTATACGTCTCATTCTTAGGCATAACCCCAGAACCCTTTCTCTACTTTTAATGTTTTACATAAAATATATATATATATATATATATATATATATATATATATATATATATATATATATATATATATCCTGTTATTAAACTAAAAAAACAACCCAATATGTCAGAAAATGTAAAATTTTAACATTTTAAACTCAAACTTCTTCAATCCTCCAAGTTATACACCTACTAGAGATCTGCCTACATCTAATTCCTCTACATTTGCTTAACTGCATTCCTCAACTAAAGCCATAGGTTGAAAGAAAAGGAGCTGTGTTGTGTCTCTATGGCAAATGAAAACGGTTATTAATAATTGGATAATATATGGAAAAAACTATGACATGATCAAAACTGAATATTTCTCTATAAGAGATTAAATATAAGACGGGAGGTTGCCAGGGAACCCATAGCCACACTAGAAAGAGCCATAGACACTTTTAGTTAGTAATGCTTTTGTTCTACATGATGATTTCCTTTCTTCATTTGTTTGGACTAATAGTAGGATTATATAACAGAAGCCTTGGAAGTCCAAAAGCCATCCAAAATTGGTTTAAATCTCTTATAATCTTGTAGAGGAATGTTTTATAGTGTAATAAACCCAGACCTGAACATCTTACACAATTTGAGAAGGCAAGTTTGGTGCAAAACATTATAGCATATCACCTTTAGAGCCCCTTAACAACAATAATGGGATTAAACAATGCAGGATTATTACAGACTTATCTAAATATTAGACTGATTACAATTAGAGCTGCAACTAATGATTATTTTGCAAATCAATTCATCTGTCAATTATTTTTTATATTAATTCTTGAATAGCAAAAGGTCCTTTAAAGTAGACTTTTTGCTAAATTAAAACAGGTAAAAATAAAGCTTTTCCGCTTTAGTAGTTCTGGATAGAGCATATCGACAGACGAAAAAGATTATCTTAAATGCAAAATGTTAAAAAAAAAATTTTTTTTACAACTGTGGTATAATTACTGCTCTATATGGGTTGCTCTGTCAGCTAAAGGATTGTTTTACAGTCTCTATAGTCCAGTTAATGATTTATCGATTCCTAAATTAGTTTACGATTATTTCAATAATCGATTAATCTGATTAACTGTTTCAGCCCTAATTAAAATGAATTAAAACTTAGTTCAATACAGTATTAGTCTACGGTTTGTTTACCTATATGCAACCAGGTTGTTAGGTCCTTCTGTGTTCCCTCAACAGATTTGTTTTGCAATTTAATATTACTTGGTAAATGTCAGAACTACATGTAGAAAAAATAGATTTATGCAAATTATTATATTATCATCAAAATATAGCATTTTAACAGGGTGCTTGAATAGCCACTGTGTATTTGACACAAAACTGGGTTAGAAAAACAGTTAATATTGAGTCGTTTTGTCATAATGAAGCAGATCTGAGCTTCCAGGTAAACGATAGGTGGGATTTGGCAAAATATAAAATGCAGAAAAAAGATAGGGGTTTGTTAAATATTAAAGCACCTGCACTGCTTAACTCTCCAAAATAGAAATGTGGATTTATAAATACATGTTATGAGGTTTTGTAAAGCGACAAGGTATTTTTAAGAAATGAAGTCCTAAATTTATAAACGCGTGTCGTTGAGCAGACAAACTGCACAGGGCACCTTTAAGATGCTCAGCAACTAATGTATGACCTCAGAATTAAAGCCTCTAACAAATATATAATACTGTAAAAAGATTGTTTCTTTGCTTTCTTGTCACGCTTTTATTTTAGATAATAAAAGCAATTTTTATTATCAAATATAATCTGCATAAATAAAATTTTAAAACCTGACGAATTTATTTATTTAGAGATACATGCTATCCAAACCAACCCAGCCTTATTTACGGTAAAACATAATTTTGCATCTTATGAAAGGAACGACCTATGATTTAATCTTTTGAAAACTACGTTTAACTAGCCCCATCCAGTCCTAGTTTTTTCTTTTATTACTGTTACTGTGTACTATTAGTTATTGCTGTCTGACAATATACAGGAATACAAGATTTTTCAAATGAAAAAGAAAAGAAAAAATGTCACGCCTTGTTCTAAAGAATCTTATGAACAGATAGAAAAACATAAAACTTGCCAACTATTAGTCTGGTAATGTTAAAAAACCTTTTCTATTGTCTAATTAGAGCCAACATAAGAACTTAAAACAGCAGTAAATGTACCTAGCAGAGATGTCGCTACTAAATGACCCAAACTTTTAACTCATCCATAAGTTCACAGAAGAGCCTAGAACAAAGTCTCATCCAGTGTCGCTCTCACTTCAGCAGGATTCTACAAGGAAGCAAACCTGCACAAGTGCCCTTTATTAGAGTTATAAGGAGAAAACCGCTGCTGAATGCAACAATAATTAAAAAAAAATGTTAGATTTAGAAAAAAACACCTTGATGATCTCGTAGGATTTGGCTAATTTGGCAAATCGATTAATAATCAGATGCTGTAGCAAAAGGTCAGTTAAAGAAGATTTTTTACTAAATGAAACCAGCGAAACTAAAATGTTTGCACTTGCATATTGACAGACCAAACAGCTTTTCTTTTGTTTTGTTTTTTATCTTAAATGCAAAAATATTTAGATTTTTTTTTTTTTACAATGTTCATATAATCGCTGCTCTTATTGGGTTGCTCTGAAAGCTAAAGGCGTATTTTAAAGTCTCTATATTCCAGTTAAGGGTTGATCGATTACTAAATAAGGTGACGATTATTTAAATAATCGATTAATCGTGATTAATCCGATTGTTTCAGCCTGTTAGTATATCAACATCCAAGCAGGATGGTAGTGTTGTGATGGTATGGGGCTTCAAGACATGAACAGCTGATTAATAATAAGATGGAGTTATCTCAGCCAGAACATCCTAAGGGTGGATGTCACCCAATTCAACCTCTGAGTTGTTCAAAACAATAAAATTAAGGTTTTTAAGCGGCGTAGTTTAAAGCCTTGACATAAATGCAAGTTCTCACTTACATTTGACTTATGTTATTGTTGCCAACAAAGAACAGGGCTAGGTTGCTTTGAATAGCTTTAGTTCTCCCAATTTTGTAGTCAAAGTAGACTTTGTAAAAACGAAGTTTGTATTTGCACAGGTTATCTTTACAATCTGAAACACAAGTGTCACAAAGACATAATTGACAGAGACTTTGCGAGGTCAATAAAACTCATTTTAAAGCGCTAATTCATACTAGTCTCTGGAAGCAAGCAAAGGGAACCCATGTCAATTTTTTAACCGTAGTTTGAACTTGTTGCGCTCAAAAATGATGCATGAACTCGTTTACTGTGAACTTTACTCAATGCAGTAATCTTAGATGAGGTGGTTCCATAAGAGCAAGCAATTGTAAACATTTGTTTATATGGCAGAACAACAGACTGCTCACATTGACACAAAAAGATGTCCTTCTGCTCCAGAGTTATGGTAATACAAGTCCACAGTGCATGACATCATCCTAAAAGGACTCTGTGACAAAATAAATTAACAGTTCAAAAAATATATATAGAAAAAGGGTTGAGTACTACTGCTGTTCTGATGAGACTTAGAGCTATGGCACATCGTTAACCAAATTATTGATTGTCTCACCAGGCCTAAAAAAATAATAACAAAAATCAGTTACTTCATTTTTTTTTTTAATCTAGCATTTCGTTTCACTTTTACAGACAGTATGGAGCATGAAAAATAATATTTTTGAAAATTTTGAACATTCAAAAATAACCTCGAAAACATCAACTTTGAAGTGTTATAATACCAAGATACACAAATGATCCTTCCCCCCGTATCATAAGTCATTGTCCAGCTGTGGGTTTTCCGGAATAAAAGAAGTGACCTTATTTAGATACAAACTGCAGCTCCCAAAACAAGATATACATTCCAAATGTGGGCCAGCTGGCTCTCCTTAAACCTTTGCATGTAAAGCTTTATTTCCACAATAAGAGGAAACGGCACTGCATGGAAAAAATGAACGTTAAATTAAAAGGTCTTTGGTGGCGAGGAGGATGCTCTTACAGTTCTTTCCCTTCACAGTCTGGACCGCGTCAGCAACGATTTGCTTAAATCCTTGGCCTCCCCGGCTGTTCTCACCCTCTCGTATCCCAGAACTGACATGGAGTGATGGCAGTAGTCTTCCACCTGTTTGATCTGCTGGATGCTGAGCACCGTTCTCCAGGCGCTGGCAGCCTGCGTGGCGTTCCGCGAGGAGACGATGAACGGCTTGGAGGAGGAGCTGGAGCCACTCGTCATGTTCAGAGCGAACGACTCGATGTCGTGGTTGGTGGTGAGGTTGGCGAAGCGGTAGATGCTCCTCAGGGTTTTGACGGGGTTCTCCACCAGGTCCTCGTACCGCACCGCCATGTACTTTCCTTTCAGCCAGCCTGGAGGATTTAAGGCTGTCCTCAGAGTCCTGGAGGTGCGGTCGCAGATCACCTCCATGGCTCCGATGGAGTGGTAATCGGAGCCGTCCTTCTTGTTGGCCTTGTGGCCCGGATCCACGAAAGGTATCCGACGAAGTTTGGGATCCCTGCTGCGGACAACCTGTAAGTTCTCCCTGATCAATCCATGTCTGGATTTGATTCTAGAGTTTGCCACTGCCCGAGGGTCTCTAACCAGGTGGATCACTTTCAGATCCAGGGATGGGTCTTCCATTAGAGGAGCTAGAACGTTGACGTCCAAAATGCGCACCCCTTTAATAACTATAGTGCTGTACTTTAGGCACTCCTCCTCTAACAGTCTAAGGCTCTGAGGGGGGCACTTTTTGCAGACCTTATCATCCACCATCCCCACCACCTCCTTCCTGTACGCTGAGCACAGGGGATAGGAGCACACCACCTTGTTCAGGGTGGCTCCAAACAGCCCTAAGGAGGTAAAGTTCTTGCCTCCAGGGCTGTTGTAAAGTTGGAAAACAGACAGGTCGCAGCGATACAAGGAACTCAACATGTCTCTAGCCGCCCCCTGCAGGGACACCGCATCCCCGGGGTACAGCTTCTGCCAGATGTGCCACATAGGCTCATACAAGAAGAACACTTCCGGGTTTTGGTTGAAAAGCTCCCCAAAGAAAGAAGACCCCGACCTCCAGGTGGTCAGGACGTAGATAAGCTGCCTCTTCTTAGCCAGGGAGGGCCTGTAGAGAAAGCGGATGTCTGATCTGCTCTGATATGTGGTGCTCCTCATCTGATGGTTGCACTGCTGGGGCTCCTTGGTCCATTTATAATTGGCCAAATTGAGCATAGTGAGCACCAGCAGCAGGAAATAGGCCATGAACAACACAATCCTCTTCCTGCGCAGCACTTTCATCACGATTCCAGGCTGTGCTATTATCTTGGTATGATTCCTGTAGGTTTTGAGCTTTCTCCCAAAGCCAGCATCCTTCTCCCAAGGCGCAGTCAACTTGAGTGGTTGATGGTATTGTTTGCCTCTCATCGGTAACCCCTGGAAAGAGTGGCTCCAACCACTGGACCCAGCTCTTTACATTGACAACAATGCACCAAGGCGCGCTCTGTAGTGTGTGCGCTGGGAATCTATCTCCCAGATGATTAGGTAATATATATTCCAAAAAAACAGACTCACGGCGTTCACTGCACTGCGCAATGTTCCTCATAGAAGCGGCGGTGTACAGTAATGGTGATGATGAGGATGGAGACGTCTAGATTGTTCATACCGAGCGCTGCAACGATCCGCAACGAGAAAGGAAGGAGCCGCTGCCGTCGTCTTCATTGTAATAGACGCCCTGTTCGGCTCTCTTCATATCTCCGCAGATATTGACTAAGGCATCTCCGTGGGGTTCCGACACACGCTGCAACAATATAAACTGGGTTCAATGCGGAGGGCTTAAATCACCAGGAGGCAATAAAAACGCCTGCATCCACAGTCACGGCTGTGCAAAATTTCTCTCCTCCACTGTTTCAGTCTAACTACCACTGAACGGATTCAATCAGAATGCAGGAGCAGAGGCCCGCCCCCCAAAGCGCCCTATTGGACAAACTAGTGACGCAATATCCGTGTAAGCGTTTTCATTGGTTGGTTTTACCCGTCCGTCATCAAGGGCTATCATCATAGAGATAGAGAGGTAGACAACACATTGGTCCCTTGCTGGCTATACGTCAGCTCCGTCGCCATATTGTGAGTGACAACTTGGCCGAGAAAATGCACTGTATTGGACAAAAATGTCCTACTGATTTTTATGACACAAATTAAAACAGTTTTTTTAATCAATTATAGATATATTATTACTATATCAAAATGAAGAGCAACCGTTTCAGAACATAATGCATTTAAATTATAAATTAACATTACCTTATTATACAAAACCAATAAATTTCCTAGTTTTGGTTGAGACCAAAGAATAATTGGCTTACAAAAAGTCATTTAATCCTTACTTTTTTATCTTTATTTGTGGTAGTATTTTCAGTATTATTATTAATATTAACATTATAAGTGGTAGTTTTGGTAGTATTTGTACTACTGGTACAAGTAATGGTTAGACGAAATGATAACTTGAAACAACAAAAGGATAGTAGCTTTTTACAAATCGTATATGAGCAGTTTTGGTGGAGATAATAAGAAAATCAAAATAAAAGCATTGGAATTAATTTCATAATAAATAGAATTAATGTTATAAGTAGCCTAATATTTAATTACTTATAACTACAAACTATGATTTCAAAGTATATTACAAATGACAATTAAAAAGTAATATAACTAATTGTATACTTATACTTCTTAGCAGCAATACAGTTTCTAGTATTTTGACATAGTTTGGGACAGGATAAATATAGTGATAGAAATTCTACTAAAAAAATCTCTTATACTGTAACTAGCTGTATATTAAAACTCTTAGATAATAACAAAGGCTTTGCTTTTAAGGAACCAATTACATCTATTGTAGCTGAACAGTTTGAATCCTTATTCTATCATTATTTCCATTTCTTTTTGTACTTTTTACACCGTTACAACAGATCCCACCAGCTTGGCTTAAATAACACTATATGGCACCACATTAATGTAGAATCTGAGTGCCTACTCTTCTACAACTACTACATCTATGTTAGGCAGAAATGGTCAGCGGTGAAAACTTTTATAATGAGCCATAGTGGTCTCCACCCTTCCCTTCCTCCTAAAATGATAGAACATACCAAGTTAAAGCGTTATGAAGCCCTTCAGTGTTTGTTTTTCTTTCAGGCAATGTTGCTCACCTCAATGCTTCTCCTTTAAATTCATATTTTACTTCAAGTAGCTGTTCTGTTTCAGGCCAGACAGACAGACAGACAGACAGACAGACAGACAGACAGACAGACAGACAGACAGACAGACAGACAGATAGATAGATAGATAGATAGATAGATAGA